AACTATCAAGTATCAACTGATTCCGTTGATGTTATTGGGCTTAGTGGTTCAATTACCTATTACCAATTGGGCCATGTAGTTTAGCCTAGTTGAAGCAAGCAACAACGTATTATCTAGCCCAATAACTAATTAAGATGATCTGTATAAGGGTATTTTATGTAGTCGCATGATGAATTTTGTTATGTATTGAGTGCATAGAAGTGGAAGTACAATCTTTCCCTCTCTTCTCGTCACTATTAAAAGAGGAATTTGCACCCACTATCAGATATAATTTATATTACACTTAAACATCTATTATATATTTATTTATAAATTACTAAACCAAGTAAAAAATATTACAATTATACCTAAGAGGTAACTGCTGCAATTAATTAGGATTATGATATATCTTAAACAAAATCATCTCAAATAAATCGCCCATTATCTCTCTTTCCTTCCAGGGGCGGAGCTAGTATAGAACCAGTGTGGGCCTAGGCCCACACTGAATTTTACAAAAGAATTTTTAAAGACTAGGGTCATATATAAATTACTTGATAAAGGATCTAATTTACATTATGTAGGTGCATTTAGGAAGATATAATTGTATCTCTCTCTAAATTATAAAATGACTTATTGCATTTTGTTTACCATCATTAATTATTTTTTATTTATTTTTATTTACATAAATTGACACTATTTATCATATTTTGCTTAGATATGTATATATAATCGATCATTTACTTAATATGACTTATATAGTAAGAAGAAAAAAAANATTATGTTTATTGATCCACTAACATAGTCAAGTTGATTCTAAATTTGATCCCAAAATTATTGGAATTAATAATACATAGATAATAAATTTTCACATAACGCACTTTAAATTTGATCCTAAAAGTTTTAGTAATTAATAATTCACATAAATATACAAGTTTCCACCAAAATAACTTTAAATTATATTTATGACTAATAGTTAATTGTGTTTTTAAAAATAAAAATAATAATAAAAGGAGAAACATTGATTGGATATATGACTTTTTTTCTTTCCTTTTCATTCAATCAAGATTTGTATTGTTGAAACTAAGAAAAATAATAAAAACAATTACCATCTTTACAAAACGCTAATTCAATCTCCTAGCCAAATAAACTGTCACAATCCGCTATCAACTAATAAAATGCGTTAATCAACTAACAATACCTACATTTTCAAGTAATTCAGTTCCTTGCTCAATCCTAGAGTTTTTTTTATCAGATACGAGTTCGCCATGGAGCAGCCCAGGGACATGATGCCCGCATATGGGACATCAGTAGCGCTGCAAGCCTGCAAACGAGTCGAGCCGAGTCGAGCAATGGCCTTATCGAGCATGATTGATTTTTTTTTTTTTAACTGCTCGAGCTCGATTCATGAGGCTCGAGCTCAACTTGATAAGAAAATACAATAGCTCGAGCTCGACTCGAAATTTTTTAAGTGAAATTACCATCAAGCACTAGTATTATACTATCTAAATTAGGGGTGTTCACGGTCCGGATTGGTCCGATTTTAGCCCAAACCATGACAAAATTTCTTATCCATAATCGGACCAGTTTCATTTTTTAACTGACCATAATCCGGACCGCATTGGACGGTCAGGTTTGGCGGTTAACCGGTTAAATCCAAAATCCTTATTTTCGGCTTTCAATTTTTATTTTTCATTTTGGCTTTAATTATTATTTTTCAATTTTGAGCCCCAAAAGAGATTATTTGGGCCTAAAAATTAAGAAAAACAACAATAATGAAATAAAAAATACACAATTCGTCCCATAAGCATAAAAATACAAATTTCGTCCCATAAACATAAAAATAAAAAATGATGAAGATTAAATTATGCAAACTGAATTTTATACACCTGAAATAATAAGAGCAAAGCATTCACAGTGAATGTATTGTATTTGTCGGTCACAGTGAATGACTGAATGTATATATATATATATATATATATATTTGTTATAGTTTTTTAATATTTACCGGTCCAGTCCGGTTAAACCGGCGGTTTGCCGAAGGTAATCTATTAACCGGACCGGTTATTCTGGATTTTTACAAAAATTAACCACCGAATTTTTTAAGGCTTTTTTAACTAACCATTTAACCGATCCGCGGTCCGGATTGACGGTTTTTTTCGGTTAAAACCGGACCGTGAACACCCCTAATCTAAGTATATATAAATGGTATTTTAGTAATAAAATGTACTCGACAATGTATATTATAGGCTCGAGCTCGACTCGAGTTCGTGCTCGACTCGAATTCAGTCAAACTCGAGCTCGAGTCAAGCTTTGACTCGAGCGAGCCGCTCGACTCGTTTGCAGCCCTAGGTCACATCACAACACGAAGACCTCACAAATAGTCTTCGATCAGAACTTAGAAAAAATCAACGCTGATAATCTAAGCGAACCAAATCCCAGTCCACACCCTCCACACCCCTCCTGATACAATCAATGGAGAATCTATCTTCACAATGTACGCTCACTTCCTTCCTTCCCATACGCTTGACGTAAATTGAACACTCGTCTTCTCCTTCATTTTGAAATCCCCATTTCTTCACTTCCTCACCCAAGATCTCCTGCATTTCAACTTGTTTCACATGTAGAATAAATGTGTAACTCTAAAAATGTATAGCTTAATAAACAAAATAAATATTATACCTTGGACATGACTAGATTTTGAAACAAGAAGATACATTAACATGTTTACACTCAAAACTGATTATTCTTGCTGTATATAAAGCATTTTCAGACATTCCTCCACAAGATGATGAAAACAATCTATCTAAATACTGTAAAAGAAGGAACTATTGGTGTCACACTCAACTGTAAAATCTTGCACTGCATCAACGAAACATTAGGAGGCAATAAATATTTCAAGATTATCAGGACTCTTTGAGAAAAAAAAAAAACAAGCAGCACCTGAACCAAGTTTGGTTAAATTATCGAACTTGATATTTTCATAGTTGAAAAACATTCCAACTTTCACTTCACATCCCATCATTTGTGAGTTTCAATCTCCTCCAGCCTGAAAATTATGCAATGGAAAAGTATTTTTGCCCTGTAATATAAATAAACTAGTGCGGATTGAAGATTCGACTGCGCAAAGTAGACAGGAACTGGCAAACCATGTATTTTTAAAAATTTTCCAGCCTTGTATTAACTTCCGATAAGGTTATACACATATGAATTTTCTTTTGATTTTATTCAAGTAAAAGACAAACAACAGAGTATAAGGACTATAGTCTGGAATAGACGGGCAAAAGAAAAGGAAAGAAAAATAAAATCGGATATTTATATGCAAGTAAAAGACCCCAGCTAAGAAACAAAGTTTCTAGTCTCTAAACATCCTTCTGCTTATTGATTGCACAAAAGACCCCAGCTATAAGCCTAATTGTCATCATATATGCAAGTAAAAACAATCTCATACCAGATAGAATTGCAGCATAACTGCCAGTTTTGCAAACTTTACACACAGTGTCACAGTTTTTTGAATTAATCTTCGATCGCCTGATCCAAACGATCCACAACATTACCACATACGAGTTTCCAAAATCGACACACTTTCAGAGAAAACAGAAATCAATGTATTATTACCTTTTATTTGCTCCTTTACTGCGAATCCAGGGATAGAGGATTCTGGCTTGGCTATTTGAAGATCTGAAAAATGTACTATTTTTGGTTCATCGGCCACCAATGAAATATCAAATTTACAAGGACACACAAATTAACAAAAAATAATGACAAAATAATTCAGAAAGAAAAAGAGAGGAAGAAGACGTAGAACCTAGAGGCCGATTGGTTATTGGGCCGCAAAGTGTATGCTTTCGGCAGATGGAAGCAAAAATGACTAGGGAATGATAAAATTAGGACTTATTTATAGTAAAATTAGTCGCCAATAAATTCGTCGTCTTTGAGAATCTTTCAAGTAGCAGCAGCTGCATCTCAAATGAACAATTTAAAAATATGTAGAGTAAAAAATGTTTTTTAACTCTAAAAATGTATAGCTTCATAAACAAAATAAATATTATACCTTGGATATATAGTTAACAGGACTAGACTTTGAAACAAGAAGATACAATGACATGTTTACACTCAAAACTGATTATTCTTGCTGTATATAAAGCATTTTCTGACATTCCTCCACAAGATGATGAAAACAATCTCAATACTGTTAAGTAAGAAACTAAAGGTGTCACACTCAACTTTAAAATCTTGCATTGCATCAACAAAACCTTAGGAGCCAGTAAATCTTCCAAAATTACAGGACTTTTTGAGAAAAAAACAAGCAACACCCAAATCAACTTTGGTTAAATTATCGAACCTGATAATTTCATAGTTGAAAAACATTCCAACTTTCACTTCACACCCCATCAATGGAAAAGTATTTTTGCACTGCAACATAAAATAAACTGTGCGGATTGAAGATTCGACCGCACAAAGTCGACAGGAACTGGCAAACCAGGTATTTTTAAAATTTTCCGGCCTAGTATTAACTTCCGATAAGATTGCACACATATGAATTTTCTTTTGATTTTATTCAAGTAAAAGACAAGACATACAACAGAATATAAGGACCAATCTGGAATAGAAGAGGCAAAAGAAAAGGAAAAAAAAACGGATATCTTATCCACCTCAACCGGAAGCAACATTAGTCCTACACTAGCAACATAACACAATCTCCAAAGATACAGTCACCATTTGAATACTTAAGAACTAACATTTGTGTTGATCATCCAACAGTTGAAACCAAGCTTAACCCCACGTGAACACGAGCTTGCATTCTACAGATTGCCGATGAAACGCCGGTTCTCTCGAGTGTGTCAGGTCTTGTCTCGGGAGCATTGCCGTCAGACGGGGAACATATCATACAAAAGTAGTACTAAATATTGACAGAACAAAGTGATGTGGTGATATAGTTTGTCAAAGTCCGAAAGTCGTGATTAAAATAAAAATTCTTATCTGTTTCTTTTATCTGGCGGTTTATTTTTATTTTGGAACTGTTTCTAATATTTATGGAATTCTTGGTGACTGGTAATTTTCATGGATTTTTTTTTTCTAGCATATACGGCATTAAAATATAATGTTGAGATCAATCAGTTTTTCTAGTACTTGCTGGTAAATGAGCAGAGCTGGCAACAAGGGTCGGTACTATACTAAAACAGTAAAGTTTGAGCAACACTGAACAAAACACTAGGGAGTTTATGAATCATCATCAAGTTACATACCCTATATTTTCATCTTCACACAATTGCGCGAAACATAAGCAAGTCGAAATAGTTACTACAGAAGTAGAAGAACTTGACGAACATTCAGTTGTCGAATGCAGACATCACTACTTACTACACAATAAGACCTCAGGCCAATCACTCAGAATCCGGAAGGAAGGCAAGCTGACATGCGATTGATCCTCGCTCAAACAATGAAATTCTCTTAAGCGCTTGGTATTTCTTTTGCAGATCAATGCATTCATAAGTTGGAGTAAATATTTCAATCGTCTCCAATACTCGAGAATTCCTCAAAAGATATCTCACCATGTCAAATTCATGCTCTTTGAACCGCATCGAGTTAATTCTTATAGTTCTTAGACATGATAATAGACATTTGGGCACTTGTTTGGGCTCGGTCCACAAAGATACCATATGTAAATTAAGCTGATGACAATAAGCAGAGCATAACCAAAAAAAAAAAAAGGAGCTCTTGTTGTAAGAAAAATGAGAAACAGCTAAAGACAAATTTAATGGCATCAACGATAAACTCCACTTACAATAAGGACTCCAAGATTATCAGCAACTTCAAGGAACTTTACAAGCAAACTCCCTTCGAAGTTCAATCGGAGTTCAAGTTTGGTTAAATTATCAAACTTTACATTTGAACGAGCAAGTCCTCTACGAATATACTGAAAAATGTAACACAATTACGCATAGTTATAACAACAAAGCCGAAAAATAATTGACAGGAGGAGGCTCAAGAGATTGAAGAATCAAAACATACCTTCTCAAATCCCGAACCTGATATTTTTAGGCACTTTACATAACAGAGAGAATGAAGAAACTTCATCACCGTGGAAGAGTACTTCCTTTTGTGCTTTGAGAACCAATAATTATCGAAGCAGATATCCGCCTCAACTAAGGAGATCATGGTTATAGGAATTGTCATACACTCCAAGTCATAATCATACACTTCGAGATACCTAAGGGCCGGGGCATTTATTATCACCCTATATTCAAGGGCATACATTCCCATACTGAGCTGTAGCATCTTTATCGTGGGTGATGATATATTTATGCAGCCCACATAAATGGATTCTTCGGCAAACTCGAATGCCAAATTCAACTCCTCAAGCGACGGACAGCCGGAAAGAAAGTGAGGAAGCGCATCATCATTCTCGCATATAAGATTAAAAATATAAAGCTTCTTGAGGCTAGGGAGAGACACATTGTCCACAGCAGAGAGTGAAGGGCATCCGTCATCAAGCTTCAAGTCGACAATGGTTTTGCAGTTGAAGAGGTATCGAGGAAATCTATCCAAACTATGTTCAAGATAAAGATTCCGGATATTACGGTCGATGGCAGTTGTAATCAATGTCTCCAGTTGATAATCGTTGCAGCTGACATTGAGAGTAAAAGTATCCATTGTTTTTGCCTTGTGCCGCAATAGAACCCTATGGATGATGTCTGAGGTTTGTGTTTCATCCCTGAAATCGTCATCATAGAAGTCCAAACAGGGTACATGGGCCCATAGAAACCTCCATCTTTTTCCGAGAACACTTGTCGCCACTGAGAACTTTGTCTCGAGAAAAGAGAGAATGTGGCATATGACGACATCTGGCAAGCTGCTGAGCCTATCGATCGAAGCCATGTTTTGCTCTCCATCCGAAAACTTTAGGCGCTTTCCACCTGATTGTTTGGTTTTCTCCATGTAAGTTCTGACAAAGGGTACCTGATTCTTACAACTACAACCAAGGGAGTAGCAGTCAGAGGATACCAAGATTCAGATTATTGTCTGATGGGCAGGTTAATTCTAAGTCTAACGTGAAGAAGATGAGGAGACAAAAATGAAAAGGTTGAGAAATAAACTTAACAATAGAGCATTTATTTAGCAACTGATGTAGCTAAGATGTCGAAAAAGGCAAGAGAGAAATATGAGCAGACAATTAAGGGTAAGCCAAAACACATTTCTAAAAAATTGGTCTGGACCGTTTTGATAAAACATCACCATCTTCAAACTGAAAAATTTCATCTTCACAAAGCAATATTTTCCTCTGATGTAAAAAAATAGAAGACTCCTACAAAGCTAAATGAATATGATGAACAGATAATCCATATGAACTGAGGCCTTCCTCTCATCCAAGGCTCAGACAACAATTCGGTAAGGAAGTTCCTAGGAAGTGGACTGGATATATACTTAAATTTCATCATCCACCTCCTAAAATAGCTGAAATTCAGGAATGTAAGAGAAACCCCTCTACCTATTTCCCTTAAGCTGCCAACCCATGAACCATTTTTATTTTTTTTTAAATGTAGTAATTACCTTTAAAATCTGTAAGCGGAGTCGGAGGCGAGGCGTGGAGGTGGTGTCGCGAAAGCAGTGTCGGAGATGACTCACGGTCTCAGGCGAGGCGCGGAGATGTCCGAGGCGAGGACGAGGTTTTGAGATAGAGAAATGAGACCAATATATTATATTATTATTATATATTAGTCAGACCTGACTCTCCAAAAAAA